ATTGTCTATTTCGTTGGCTTCTCATCAGCTGCTGCTTACACCCTAAATAAATTATGAGGTATATGCACAGAAAAGTTTTAACATACTTGCGAATTTTTCCATGATGTCAGTTGACAGAAGGTTCCACAACTGGTGAACAGTCCTCAGAAAATTACGCTTATGCAGGTTTTACACAGGCAGTTCAAGTTTAAACAAAATAAATGTATGCATACAATGGTAGAGGAGTTACGTAATAAAAGAGCCTGTCTTCATTCAACTAGATTCTAAAGGTGAAAACATTGCAGCATTGGACAACAGAAGACTGTGTACGTCACTAGCCAGAGCCTATCCTACAACTAAGTTGGTTCCTATCTATCTTTGGTACAGTCAAAAGTGGATAGATACCCTTCCCATGTTAACTCCAACTGTGTACACAAATTTACGTGTATCTGCGGGAGCAGTTACATTGGGAGAACAAAAAGAAGGACCCTCCTCCGATTTTCTGAACATATGCGGAAAAGTCTACGCCTTACGAAACTTCCTATCGACTGACATCATGGAAAAAATTCGCAAGTTTGTTAAAACTTTTCTGTACACAAACCTCATAATTTATTTAGGCTGTAAGCAGCAGCTGATGAGAAGCCAACGAAATAGAAAATGATGGTACCATATAACTTTGTACAAACCACTATTGTTATTGCTTTATTCAAATTCATCAAGGGGAATAAATGCATCATATGTATCGAAAACTTGAAGCTGTGTATTCAAGAGAAAGTCATCCAACCCCTACATTTATCATGGATCCAGTTCGGTTTGTCTCCTAAGGTCTCGTTTTCCCATTCCCTTCAGTTCTTCACTTTCAGTTGTAAGAAGGACTATTAGCTCAATTTGTTGCTTGCTCGTCCCATTTACACTTGTATTCGTTGCAAAAGTATTTTACATATTGTACAAATATACCCTAATCATTCAGCTCTATGTCGATCAAAAGACTCAACAACGAAAGAAGATAAAACCAAAATTATCTACAAAATAAATTGTAGCAACTGAGAAAAACATTACATTGGTCAAAGTGAACGTCCCCTTCGTCTTCGTATCCACGATCATAAGCTAGGCGTCAAAAGACATGATATCCACTCCCTCATATCGCATACAGACAACCACGGACATCAATTCTACTGGGACAACCAACGTTCAAATATTAGACAGAAGAAACAACAAGAATGCTAGAGAATTTTTAGAAGCCTGCCTGGTATTCCAGTGAAACATCAGTAAATAGACGAAATTTACCAATTGATAAGAAATAAATCTCACACACAAAGGGTCAAACTTCACGTCAAAGAAACAATCAGTTCCAGTACCAATACAAGTAGGCTAGAGGGTGTGGAAACACATAAAAACATCGAATCAAGTTCAAGGTGACCAGGAGAGCCGACTAATGAACTAAACTCGTGGAGAAATCTAAAAGCTCACTTCAACGAATTGAAGAATGCACTAAAAATGTTGCCTAGTAGGGGGAAATGAAAGCTTTGCAAACAAATCATCCAGCTAGCTTAGAGAACACAACTACATCGAAATCATTTTGTTTCTAAGCCCCTTGTAATCTATATTCCCACCCACCTTCAAACTTTCATTTCAAGTTGAAAATTATCACCTTTATTTCTCCTCCTTCGTTATTACGTAGAATTAAATAAGAGTAGTAATTGTATATATGTAAACAATTGGTGGATGGTGGCTAGCAGTGGAAACCAGGATGCACATTTCGTCCCATTTGGGACTCTTCACCTGCATTCCTGAGTCAATGAGTGATAATATTCCTACCGAGGCTCGAACCCAGTGCCCATAGTTTCAAACGCCAAAGGGTTATCCACTAGACCACTTGGGCCACCTCTTGTGCAACGGGTCGTAATTATTTAATCGAATTTTATATTTTCCCGTCGAGAAGTCGACATGTCAACCTGAGACCAAGCATTTCGGTCGACGGCAAAATCTAAAATTCAATTAGATGTATAAGTCTGTTACTAGTTGCATGTTGTACATGTTTCTGTTGTGCTCCACAAGCCTTGTCAAATGTGGTAAAAATTAATTCGAAAATAGTGAGTTCACTTTCATTCCGGTCATAGATGCATTGATCCTGTGTTAGACATAGTTTCTCAATTTCCCTATTTCTCTTTAGTTTTGTCTTAAATAACATTCTGGAGACACCTGTGAATGATTTTTGAGTCGTGATGGTTTAGACCTGCTGTTTGACGAGACATCCTAACCTTAGTGATTACTATATCCTCGTTATTCTCAATGTGTTTTAGGGCGTCTATCTCTGGTTTCGTCAGGTTAGGCTTTCTTCACTTTTGTCGTTTTAATGTTAGTGCATATTGTACCCGTACGTCATCTATCCAACTCAGTTTTATTTCTATTTTCGGGATGAAATCCTGAGGCTTCAGCTTGTCTACTGCTACATTGAGATTTAGTCCCTTTTCTAACAAATTTGTTTCTGTGGAACTTAACACATGTCTTGACAGATTGATTACCCACTTTGGTTTATCGAACACTGTCAACTTTAGATTACTGATCTCATCGTTCACAGATGGAGATTTCTTCTCCAATAATGCATTGAACATTTTGATTTTTTGAAAGATGCTGATTTGGCATTGGCAGAGGTCTGTATTATAAGATCGTAATCCTCGTTGATAACTGTTCCCACTAATTTTTTTTTTACAAAAATTAGTAGAATCATTCTAACTTGGTGAGTCATGAAGAGCACCTCAAGCAAACTACAGACCTTCATCAACAGCTGTCTTCGCTCAATACTAATCAAGATCAGATGGTCGGCCAGAAAAGATCACCACCAACAGGGATCTCTGGAAATGAGCCAACCAACCAACCAGGAACCGATTGTACAACAAATAAGCAGGAAGAAATGGAGGTGGATTGGCTGGCCATACTCTGAGAAAACAAACCATCAAGTGACATCACTAGACAAGCCAGTGCTCAAGTGGAACCCGACTGAATGGGAAGTAGCGAGTTGGTCGTCAGTGTGAGGGTGACTTGGAGGAGTAGGTGATGTGAAGAGGAGATGAAAGCATGTGGGCAGAGGTGGAGCCAGGTGAAAACGTTGGCAGAGAACCGAACGCAATGGAGGCGTTTGGCTGAAACCCTATGTTCCTCTAAGAATTAATGGGAATAATAATAATAACCTTAATTATGCAGATGATATTGTCTTATCAATCAGGCATGTGGTCTGTGGTTCGACTCGCAGCCAACGCAATCCTCAACCCCGCTTAGCTAGCAGTATATAAGGTAAAGAAGGGAGGTTGGGCGTGAGATTAGTAATCCCATCCCGTAAAATCTCAAAGCTTGAAGTCTTATGTTCCACCGGGAACGCCAAAATAAATACAGTAAATCTACTTACTGTGTGATAGCATACAGACTACTGAAATTGCATTGGTGCTAGTGCAGTCTGTATCCGTACTCACCCTCGTAATGGAATCGTTTAAAAGTATTCAAAATATGCTGATGTATAACACGGTCACCTAGGATTCTGGTGAGAAGTCGTGACCAGTAGAGTGCAGCAGCAGGTCGGGGGTGTGAGGACAAATACTCGCCACCAATGACATTGGCTAGCGGTCGTGTGGCTATGTCGTGAATTGGCAGAAGTTAGAATTCATGGGCTGGCTGACCATTGGATAGGGTCCCAGTGACTGCTGGATGGTCTACGAGCTCGCTAACCTTGTAACCGGAAGGTCCTGGGTTCGAACCCCTCCAGGTGGGTGCGTACTACTGAAGAGTCGCGAACTACTGGAGAGCCATTCGGTGACCTGGCCTGCTATACTATGCGATGAAGGACAACAAACACATGAGGCGCCACTGCAGCAGCTAAACACTATTCCACTCAAAATGCAGTGAATCAAAAAAAAAAGAGAGAGACAGAAAGAAAAAGAGAAATGATGTTCTTCAATATAACAACATATGATTCCTAATTTTCAATACATTTCTTCTCAGTAAAAAGAAATGATCGCCAGGGAAATAGGCAAAAGGATTAATGAAATGTAAAAGGGTTCGGCAACAATAACCCCCCTATCATCTGTGAAAGGCAGATGGACGGATAATTTATTTATTTACTTTTCATCAGTAAATACGATGAGGATGATGGTGATGATGGGTGTTCAGTAGAACAGTCTATATAACACAAAAATGAAAAGTATAGAAATTCTAGCCTATTACTTGTTTCACAAAGCGATAATCACAGTTTACTACAATTACATCAATGATAATATTGATAATATTAATAATAATAATAATAATAATAATAATAACAGGAGTAGCAATGAAGTCGAAAAAAACCAAAAAAACTAGTTCACAGAGATTGTGTGTGTGTGGGTGGGTGGGTAGTTCATACGATGAGTGGAGAGGAGAAAGACAAAAGGAAAGAAACACACAAGAAGTCTAACACAATCTCGTGGGCAAGTAACAATGAATCACAATATAATAATCTTTTGTGGTGTACATAAATCTATTGTCTATTGTCAAATTAAGGGTTAGGGGGGGGGACGCAGTGAGGTGGAGCGGGGGGCGCAGTGCAACGGGGTGATATACTGATCAAACGATTGTACAAGGATAGATAGATTATAACATGGATGCCACCATGGTGTAAGCAAGCGAGAAAAAAAATTCAAATGATAACTTGTGTGAACAAAAACCGTCGGAACACACACACATACAGACCCGCCGTCACCTCCCCCTCCCGGATGAGGCACCACCACCACCCCCCCTTCCATATGAGAAAACCAAAATAGAGATGTTTGAAAATACGATGCATGTGAAACGTTCAGGAAAAAGGATAGTATCGAAAATATATCTTTCTTTTTTACAACAGAAAAAAGGGGAAGAATCTTAACGACACTGTCTGTGTCTATCTATCTGTCTGTCTATCTGCATACATACATCGAAAGACGAAGGGTATAGAAGAAGAAGAAGAAAAATAAAGCAAACTGAACATCTTTCTTTTTTTCATACTAACAACACTGTCAACAATTTGTAGATGAATGGAATGCGTTCAGTTGAGGTTGAGCATCAACAATATGTTGTTTATTATAATGTGCATCATGTCTACGTCCACTGTGTGATCGTACATGTTCATCGTCGGATATCTTGGAGACTATAGATGCGTGTTGTTTCGGTGCATCTTCTCTTGAAGTAGAACGTTTCGCTTCTTTCCTGTCTAGGTCACCCGTGTGAAAAGAATGTCGTCTATGGCTACTCTAGAAAAATAAGAATGAGGGAGAAAAGAAAGTTATAAGTCGAACGATTATTTTTAAATCAAATTTACAATGTGCATACTATACAACGGTGGAATGCTCGCCAACCACGTCTCATGTTGCCCAGAGTTCGAGACCCGATCACCGACGTATTCCTTTACCTTGCTAAGCTAGTAATACGACTGGTGAAGAAGGAAGGCTGGATAGCGACCCCATCCCGTAGAAATAAACATCACTGCTACTGAAACTTCAAGCCTTTAGCTTGAAGGTGCCCTACGTTCCACTGGGAACGTAGAAGAATAATAAAAAAATACGACACAATTCGAGGGGTAGGATGACCAGTTGACCTGAGTAGCTAAACCAAACCACACCGGGCTGATGAGTTTGAACCTAAACGATCGAAACTGCCCCACCCCCCTCCGCTTACTTCGATCTGACTGGCTAGCAAGCACTACAACTGGTTGATATGAGTCGCATGCAACTACTCATCTCAGTCAATCAGTAGTATGTGGTTTCACGCGAAATATTATTTCTTCTAAGAATATCTCTGAAATACAATAAGCATTCCAGAATAATGAAGAAATTATATCGATCGAGTTCTAGCGACGATGATCCTGTGGACTTGAATCGCTAAAGATTTCAGTCACACACATAACTTATTATTACATAGGGCTCCAGGCAAACGTCTCCATTGCTTCAGGTTCTCTGACAAGGTTTTCAGCTGGCTCCACCTCTGCCCACATGCTTTCATCTCCTCTTCACATCACCTACTCCTCCAAGTCACACATACACTGACGACCAACTCGCCGCTTCCCATTCAGTCGGGTTCCATTCGAGCGATGGCTTGTCTAGTGATGTCACTTGATGGTTTGTTTCCTCAGAGTATGGCCAGCCAATCCACCTCCATTTCTTCTTGCTTGTTTGTTGTACAATCGGTTCCTGGTTGGTTGGTTGGCTCATTTCCAGAGATCCCTGTTGGTGGTGATCTTTTCTGGCCGACCATCTGATCTTGATTAGTATTGAGCGAAGACAGCTACTGATGAAGGTCTGTAGTTTGCTTGAGGTGCTCTTCACGACCCGCCAAGTCTCTGATCCGTATGTTAAGTAGCACTGACTTCACATTGGAGATGAAAGTCAGGATGTTATTTTTCATGCTGAGTGCTGTAGTTGAAACGATGCTTCCCAGGTAGGTAGGTAAAGGAGGTTGTTTCTTTCAGGTTCCCCCCCCCCATTTATGCTGGCTGATTGTTGTCTGTTGTTGCTGCTGTTGGCGTTGGCCAGGAATCTTCATCACCTCTGTTTTCTCTATGTTTACTTGGAGTCGTATCTTTGATGCTTCTTCTTCTGCCAACTTGTTGCTTTTCGTTTGCATATCTTCCAGTTTGTGAGAAATCAGACATATATCATCGGCGAAGTCCAGATCCTCCAAGCTTTTCGTGAGGGTCCATCTTATGCCTGCTTCCTCGCCTCCCGCTGTCTGTCTATCGCATTATCCAATCTAGATCAATCAGGAGAATCATTGGGGATAGTAGACAGTCAGCTTGTCTTACTCCCGTCTTTACTTCGAAGGATTCCGTAAGTTTCCCATTGTGGATTACTTGTCATGCAGCATTGTCGTACAACTGTTGGATAAGATATTTAATGGCTGGCAACATCCCTCGGTAGTAGCGAAGTAGTTTCCAAATCACCTCTTGATCGACGCTGTCGGAGGCCTTTTCAAAGACAATGAAGTTGAGTGAGGTAGAGAGCTGACTGCCATTCCAAGCTTTGTTCAATGATGATCCGTAGTGTGGCGATTTGATCGATATACGACCTGTTCTTCTGAATCCAGCCAGGGCTTGTTTGATTCTCTCCAGGATGATGCGGCTTAGTATTTTGTTTGGGATGGACAGAAGCACAATTCTGCGCCAGTTCTTGCATTGACTTAAGTTTCCTTTCTTTGCCAGGTTGAATAAGTAGCCTTTCTTCCAATCCTCGGGTACCTTGCTGTCTTTCCACATCTTCTTCAGTAGTGGTGTCATCAATTCCGCTGTTGTCTATGACTTACTACTACTTGTGATCTATATAAGAGGCTACAGATCTGTCAAAAGACAGGATAACATTGGATGATTTACTGGTTTCCACCTACGTAATAGAATACAAACCTGACAGCCCTATGCAACATGCATGTAAGTGTAATGTATGATAATATGGTCCACCAAAGGTTATGAAGACCATTTGATTGGTCACAGGATTTCATTATTCATCACTAGCTGACATCGATCGGTTAGAAAGAACCATAGTAAAAACTAGTCAGCGAGAAGTGGACAGCTGTTTTGTCCGTCTAGTTCGAGACCATTGAGCAGTACGCACCCACCGAGGTCCTCTTTCGGTTACAAGGCGAGCAGCTCGTAGACCATTAGGCAACTGGGACCTGATCCAATGGCCAGTCAGTGCATGAATTCCAACTTCTGTCAATTCACAAAATAGCGCGACCACTAGCAAATGTTATGGAAGAGTATTTATCCTCACATTAACTTGATACATCATTGGAACCAAGAAGTGCTCTAAACAAACTAATATGGAATTACGTACTACCACAGTGCCCAAGTTTTACATATACATTAATATGTTACATTTGCGGTTAATGAGATACAATACACAATAATTAATAATTCAGATATAGGTGTCTGAAAAAGAGACGTTCAGCAGAGGTGTTTCTACCAACAAAAACCTTTGATAGTAGAATGTTACGTATTTGACTTTAATTCTGTATTTCTAAAGACCAAGGGTCTTTAACCCTACAACGTTTCAGCCTCCATGTCTACTGTCAGCTAATGATGAAATCCTGTAACCGATCAACCAAATCCCTACAAACCAACACTTAAATATCAATGAGACGCTCACTAGCAACTTGCTCTATTCAGGTAGTTAGTTACCTGGGGTCGTGACCAGTAGGGTGCAAGCTGGCTGGCTGGCTGGATTCAACATAGAACTTGGCACCGAAGTGCACCAGTTCGAGTTGCCACGTTCCAAATAGCACACAGAGGTAGACAAGAAGATGAGTGGAGAGAATCAATAGAGTTTGACAAGTATGAGAGTGAAACAGAATGGGTAATGGTAGGAAGGAATATGAAAGATTACAGAGACTGAATACATCTGCGTTGGCCATTGACAACGATTTTGAGCCATGTCACCTATTGTCTCCAGGCATTGATTCCTAGAGTCCCGAGGACCCCAACCCGGGAGTCTGCATCTCCCTCCCTACCTGACTCAGTTCAACTGTCAAGGATTTCATGGATTGATGAGGCCATGTTTTTGTTTGGTCACCACTGGCTCAGTTCCAACCTGAACCTATGTCAGCTAGCAATGCCCGTCGGGGGAGGCGGTGGTTAGGCATGCGCAGCACGTGACCTAGCCATCTTAGTCTATGTAACTTTATAGCCTCGTCGATTGATTTTCCCTCTTTGCCCAACACTCTACGCCTAACGTCAACATTACTTATCTTGTGAAACCACCTAACGTGAGACAGGGATCGCAGACATCTATGATCGAAAACAGTCAACCTTTTCATGTCTTCAACGCGTATTGGCCATGCTTCAGAGCCATAGATAAGGACGGAGCGAACTGATGAGCAGTACACACGTCCCTTGGTTGATAGCCAGCCGGATGTCACGCCTACGCCAGAGATGGTGTAAGTCAGCGAAAGCAGCTCGAGCTTTTCGGATCCGTGCTGAGATTTCATCGCCAATCAGTCCGTTGGTGCTAATACAACTTCCCAAGTAGGTGAAGTGGTCAACATGTTCTATCACTTCACTCCCTATCACTAAGCTAGGAGTTGACGTAGTCCAGTCCTGTAGCAGCATCTTACATTTTACAGGGGCGAATCGCATGCCAAACATACGAAGATTGCTGCTCAAGGTGTTCAGAAGACTCTGCATTTTTTCAGCAGGTCGGGGGTGTGAGGACAAATACTCGCCACCGATGACACTAGCTAATAGGAGTCACGCTATGTCGTGAATTGGCACAAGTTAGAATTCATGAGTTGGCCAGTGGCTGCTGAATGGTCTACGAGCTCGCTAGCCTTATAACCAGAAGGTCCTGGGTTCGAACCCCGCTGGGGTGGATGCATATTACTGAGGAGTCCCAAACTAGGCTGACGAAACAGCTGGCTGTCCAGTACTCCAGTGCTGGTTTTCCAATGGTTCTCTAACTAATGTCAGCTCATGATGAAATCCTGTAATCCATGTCTTATTGTTAAACACGCATTCTCACATAATACTCCTAATGACTGTTTATGTCAAAAGTAGAGCCAAAAAATGTATATCAGACAGAATATAGAGGTTTAAAATAAATAATGAAAAATAAAACCTACAGTGGAACGTGTTCGTTTCTTACGAGTAGGATTGTTCTCTATAACACTTTTCGGTGGATTATCCGATGTCGGTAGAAAGTGAGTTGGAGTAGTGGCAGTATCATTTACAGGATTATATAATTGAGCTTTCATATGACAGCTAATTGAAACATTGTCACCATTATTAATATCATCAGCATCATTATCGTTATCTTCACTATCTGTTGAAAGTCCAGAGTTATAACGTTTTCTTGAATAATTTAATTGCGATGCAACTTCTGCGTTAACATTAGCCTCATTGAAAAGTTCTCTTGGTAATGCTTGTACACTTGCAGATCGTATAATTGGTGGCCAGACACCAGCTAAACGATCAATTTCATCACGTATACGTTCATAATCTTTACGTGCAACATGTCTGTGGAATAATAATAATAATAATATAAAAATGTAAAAATAACAATCATATACTAAAGATAAAGTTAGCCAAAGATATATTTATACAGAATAAAATTGTATGGACAATTTCCACCAATCAATCAATGTACAATAAGGAAGCGAGACGACGTGCATAAATTAGACTGACGAGAAGACACTGGAAGATCTAGCTAGACATCACGTGTGATTTTTGTCTAATAATATCACACTAACTTGAAGATCTACAGAAAAAAAACCAACAACTAATTGTCTGTCTGTATGTTTTCGATATAGAATTTTGCACCGAGTTCAAGTCACCACACTCCCCCCATGTAGCACACAAACCAAGAGAAGAAACGCATAATAGAGACAGTAAACAGAGATGTAAGACAAAGAAATAGAAGCAACGAAGAACAATGTAGTTTTATTGAATATCATAAGTCACAAGGAGTGGATGCATCTCCGCCAGCCATTGAAAACAATTTTGAGCCATATTACCAATTGTTTCAAGGCATTGGTTTTTACCATCCTGAGAACCCCAACTAGTCAGGAAGTCTACACCTCCCTACATGGCTGGCTAGCTTAAACTAATTGTTGTGGATTCCACTGACTGATGAAATTATGTTTGTTTTAGTTTGACCCCACCTCTGACTATTTTTCAATCTCATCATTTCTGTGTCAGCTAACATCACCTGTTGTCGAGAAAGGCGATGGCTGGGCATGCACAACGCATGGCCTAATCATTCCAATCGGCGTAACTTCACAACCTCGTCGATTGATTTCCCCTCCTACTTACCTAGCACTCGACTGAAGCTTAACCTAAATATTCCTCACCCTATTATACCACTTAACACGGAAGATAGGACAAAGACATTTATGATCAAAGACAGCTTGCCTGCCTTTTCATGTCTCCCACTTTCAATGGCCACGTGTCGCTCACAACCATAAAGTAGGACAGAGCGAAATGTTGAGTAGTACACATGCCCTTTGGTTGACAGATATCACGTCCACTAAGCCCAGAAATGGCGTAATTTGGCATATGTCCAACAAGCCTTCTGTATGCATACTGAGATTTCGTCAGCGATCAACCCGATGGCGTTGGATGAGGCAACTTCCGAAATAAGTGAATTTATCAACACTCGTAGCCACCAGTATAATCCCTCTCTATCTCTAAAGCTAGGAGTCAATGAAATCCAGTTCTGTAGCATCTCCTGACATATGACAGAGAAAGCGAATCGTGTGCTGAACATTCGAAGATTGCAGCCCAACGTGTTCAGAAGACTCTGCATTTAGTCAACGTCTTCACCTAGAAGCAGGAATATATATCATCTGCATATTCTAAGTCAACGAGATTATTCCCTGGTAATGAGTCAGTCCCTGAGTCACTGCAGTTAGTTAGTGTTAAGTCCACCAGTACATCTAATGGACAGCTAGTCTTCCAAAAACCGACGAGCTAAGAGAAGAGGCAGTGAAGACAAGAATTCACGTGAATATCAAGAATTTTAATATTCCTATAATGATAATTACAGAGCACGATTTCAACAATTACGTCTTTTTGGTGTATTTGATGTATCATACCAGAAAAATCTACACAAAACGACACTCTGGACAATGAAATAAAGGAAAACGCAGTAAACTTTTTTTTTACGAGAACGCATACCCCGAAAAAATTTGTTAATGTCCCGATGAGGAGAACACAGATGGAAAGAAATACCCACAAACTGTGCAGAAAAGACGCATGCATACATGACTTTATCGTTTAAAAAGGATACGCAGCAATTGAATTGTTGGCATCGAAACTTCGATGCATTATTTATTTATTATTTTTTCCTTCACGTTCCCCAGTGGAACATAGGGCTTCAAGCTAATGGCCCGAAGTTTCTGTAGCAGTGTTTATTTTACATGATGAGATTGCTAGCCTCATGTCCAACCTTTCCTCTTTACCATCTTTTTATTTCTGGCTTAGCGAGACAAAGGAGTGCGTCGGCCGCGGATCGAACCCCGGACCATATGCATGGTCGGCGAGCGTCCTAACCGCTATACCACCGACGCACTTTGCCAGATTACTGTCTTTAAAATTCTCCATTCCTTGTATAATTCCAACGTAGGTGACGGATAACCTACCAAGTCTGGCCACTTCTTTGTCCATTTATAAACTTAACTTCTCATGTAGACGCAGTTACATAGGTAGAACGTCGCCTTCTGGAGCACTGTCCAATTGGTTGCATAAAGGAGTTGTAAAAAGTCAATCAGAAGTTTCATACTGACAAACATCTAGTGGATATGGAGAGCATCAGACTGATAACTAACAACGTCAGCTTTTACAACTCTAAACATGGTGCCACTAGAACTCTCTAGGTTGTTTATTTCATCTTCAGTGATCACCATAGGGCTCAGACAGTTACCACATAAAGATTTTTCAATCAAATTTGTATGTTCAGAAACCGTTTATTGAATCTTTCACCCCTCCCTTGGCCAACTTCACCCCTCCAACCTAGAACACAGTTATCTCTTCCAGTGACACCAGATATCCGTAAATAATATCTTATTATATTTTTTATTTTATTCTATTTGTACTGCTAACTGTATTATCAATGTTGTACATTTTAATCTCGGTTTCACAATTGATTATTATTATTATTTATAAGATCAATCTAATCCTTTAGAAAATCAAAACAAGTGACCCATTCAGCGAAGAGACTCTTTTCAACGAATTTATCATCAAGCTGTACAGTCGTATATATATGGGATTTTTTTACGAAGTTATATCCGGTGAGGGAATTGAATCTTAGGTGTGAATGCATAAAATAATAATAATAATGATAATAATCATATGAAGTTCAATTAAAACTAAAATGTGTTTGTGATTATAATCGTAGTTAAATGTCAAGTGGCAAAGCAGATTAATGTCATGTATATAGAATAATTCATAGGATGGATAGAACTTGAAAACGGATGTGCAATTATAGGATTAGTAGACAAATCGAATAAAACAAAAAACGTTACGTAATATTGTGTGAAATTTAATAGCATAGAATTTATCGTTGTAAAAACAAGAATTGATTTAGAATGACAAGTGGAACAAGTGAAATAATACCGGGGACAGTTCAAAGTGAGAATAGTAATGGTGACAATTGACGTAATAAGAAAGAGAATACAAATTGAATAGACAAAATGAAAAATTGGTAGAGCTAAAATATGATTGGGGATTATCATATTTTAGCATAGAGGGATTAAGACCATGAGAGTTGGAGGGGTTGAAAGAACTTCTTCTGTACACAGAGATCTGGCTTTTCTGTTTCGATAGCCAAAGCTTCAGCTTCACACAATATTACGTAACGTTTTTGTTTTATTCGATTTGTCTACTGATCCTATAATTGCACATCCTTTTTCAAGTTCTATCCGTCCTATGAAATATTCTATATTCTATTCTTCCTCGATGTGAACTTATCAAGAAGGACCGTGGAACTCTGAAGAGATCGATTTATCGTAAGCTGTTATGGAATGGTCAACTGACAAATTTCTACAACTGGGTACCCATTGGTCGAAAACGAAACCTGGTCCGGTCGCTTGCCACTCGTATTCGACGCATATGTAGCATTGATACTGTGGAAGATGAGTTATACACTTTGAGGAAAACCCTAATGGAAAATGGATTTCCACCACGTTTTATAGATAAGAATATACATTCAAAGCCTACAGAACGTGACTTATCAACCACTCCCAAGAAAATACTGGACATGAGCTTAGAATTCAAAGGGGACTTAGCTTCCGATATTATGAAATGAAGGATATCACAGTCCCTGAAAAGAACATTCCCTGCTGCATCTCTGAGAATAGCCTTTACTAGTTCACCATTACTGTTCAATAATATGAAGGACAAGATCCTGCTGTTGACTAACACTATGTGTGTTTATCAATTCATCTGCTTCTATGGAACTAGGTATATCGGTTGTTCGACTCGAGTTTAGTCCAAGAGGGTGCAAGAACACTATCTTCCTGCATGGCTACGAAAAGGTGGAAGTGGAGCAATAAGAAGCGCGATCATAGAACATCTGGTCGATGATGATCACCCTATGTCTATAGCCTCCGCATTTAAAGTCATCTACAAGGCAAAGAGCAATCTACCCAAATCCCTACGTACCCGACTCATCTCTATTGCTGAAGCTTTGGCTATCGAAACAGAAAAGCCAGCCAGATCTGTGCGTAGAGAAAAAAAATCGTTCAACCCCTCCAACTTTCATAGTCTTAATCCCTCTAAGCTAAAATATGATAATCCCCAATCATATTTTAGCTCTACCAATTTTTCATTTTGTCTATTCAATTTGTATACTCTTCCTTATTAAGTCAATTGTTATTATTACCATTCTCACTTTGAACTGTCCCCGGTATTATTTCACTTGTTCCACTTGTCATTCTAAATCAATTCTTGTTTTTACAACGATAAATTCTATGCTATTAAATTTCACACAATATTACGTAACGTTTTTTGTTTTATTCGATTTGTCTACTAATCCTATAATTGCACATCCGTTTTCAAGTTCTATCCCTCCTATGAATTATTCTATATATGATATTAATCTGCTTTGCTACTTGACATTTAACTACGATTATAATCACAAACATTTTAGTTTTAATTTAACTTCATATGATTACTATCATTATTATTATTTTATGCATTCACACCTAAGATTCAATTCCCTCACCGGATATAACTTCGTAAAAAAATCCCATATATATACGACTGTACAGCTTGATGATAAATTCGTTGTTGAAAAGAGTCTCTTCGCTGAATGGGTCACTTGTTTTGATTTTCTAAATGTTACAATGGGAATTTTCCATGATTTAAAAAATAGCAAAGATAATCTAATCCTCTCTACCTACCTCTACTAGTATACACATTCTATCTATACACTCACCATTACACCTAGATCATATAATCACTCCAATGAATTTATCTACATTATTATTATTTAAAACAAATTAGTTCCGTTTATGAAT